AACGTTATTTCAGCTATTCTATTATTTTAACAAAATCATCTATCGTTTTAAATACATTTTTCGTGATTCTATCGACAGTTTGATCAGAATAGTGTAAAAGTAATATATTTATTTAATATATTGATAACCATTAATAAACACGAATCCCTTGTAGAAATTTATCACTAGTAACACCAATTAATCACTTATTTCGAGTACTTCAAATACTAGTAATAAATTTCTGTAAGGGATTTAAATAATAATCTTTATTTCATAGACACACATACACAACGTGTCTGTCAACTCGCTCTTATCATTTCGTCGCTCTTATATTTATTTATTGTTTTGCCACACATTTGTTGCAATTCTGCCATTAGTTGCTGTCACTTCTAAAAGATCGCACGCGCGTAAAAAAATGTCAGAGAATGAAGTGGAAAAGTGTATGGCGGGGAAAAGAGATTGGAGAGTTACGAATGGGCTCGTTACGGTATAGAATTATGACGTCGGTTATGAGAGACGTAATAATTGCGGGAAAACGCCGACCTGGCCAACGACAGAAATATTATTTATGGCTTCGAGGGGATGAGCGCAAATCGTGATACTTGCGATAGTAAAATATAGCCGACTGGTTTTGTTCGCCGAGTGTACGAATGTTTTGTTGCTCTCTGATGAAAAATGCATTTATTGACCTTAAAGCGATTAAAGATAAGGAATAAGGGCAATTTGATACAATACATATCGCGATGCGATCGGAATATTTTTTCTACATCACTGAATACATATACATATTTATTGCGAACTGTTATCATTCACGATTTTTCGAGATATTTAAATTATCAGATCCGTCTCAGTCGAATGATTTTCCCTCACTACTGGGATTTTAATAATATTATTAATTTTAACAATCGCGTTTCACATTTTCGCCGGACGTACATATGTAAAGTGTTTACGACAACAAGCAGTGATATGAGTCATCTAATTCAGTTTACACGTCCGCGCATATATATATATATATATATTATTTATATTTAATTTGTATGGTCACAGTACAATCCGCTCGAGTGAGAGAAGGGACTCGGCGCCTTTTGTAGTAACACGGTAAGCCTATTAGCTTGCTCGTTCGTCTGTACATCCGTGGCGCGTGTGACAGCTTGCCGCGCCGAATGAATTTTAATGAAATCCAGTGTGTTAGAGGGAGCGAGCCGGCTCCCGGCCGCGCCACCCCCGGCTGAATTTATCCGACAAATTCTCCCTCCGCGTTGTCTAATCTGAATACATGCATATCCGAGAGAGCTGCGTATAAAGTGGAGACGCGACGACGTGGACGACTGGCATCGGCGCCGTTTTTCGACGGCCACATCGTCCCGCTCGAGATTGAGCGCGCTCGATTAAACAGCGCGGAATCTAAAATATATAGAATGTAGAGAGATCGAACGAATTGTGCGTATATATACCTCTCTCCGATATGTATCCTCTCTATCGAATTTTTTTTCAATTTATGAGATACAAATTATAATTCGATCCGATAAAAATTAAATTATGCCATTTTTTTTTATTAAAAGGTTATAGAGAAGTCATATAAGATCGATCTATTATAACGCGTTTAAACGTAAGCTATTCACGTCTCTTACGAATATTAGAAGCCTTATAGAAAACTGATAGATATCTGGCATTAATATTAATGTAACTGGACTTTAAACTTTAATACGCCAATGGCCCAGATTCGTTTGTCAATAATATTATTCATTAGATATTTATCCAATTTGGAGATTGCGGGAAAAATGTTTCGAGGCTTTGAAAATTATTAAATTATATAAAAGAAGAATAAATTAAAAATTATTCTTCGTAAAAATGTTAAAAAAGTAAAAATTAAACATTTAATCCATATTATTGTATAATTTTAAAGAGATTTCCCGAGTAAATTTTTCTCTGAAATTTATTCATTTCATGCAAATCATACTTGTTGTGTTTAAAATTAATAATCGATTGTCTCTCTCTCTCTCTTTGTTTGAAAAAATATGTTTAATATATTATATTATATATATATATAAAATTAATGTCTGCAAATAATAATAAAATTAGAGAAAAACGAAAAAAAATTATAAGAGTCGTCGAGTAAAGACAAAAGTTGACTTGGCTGATAATTGGATGGTACTTCAAGGAAAGTTAAAACTGTCGAAACACTAGTGAAGAACACTGGATCGAGCAATGTCGAAGATGATGCCCTCTCAGTCTTTTTCTACTTTTTTCCGATCATCTCTTTTCGCTTGTCGCAACCCTCGGCTATTATTCGCGACTTCGAAAGTGAAACAGAACGAAACTCGTCTTAAAAGAACTTTTAACAATGCCAGAGAGACACGAATTCACCCGCACTCGTCAATCTAATCTTTATTAAGTAACACGTTCGTATTTCTTGGTGAAAACAGACTACAATTTTCGTCAACTATCTATTCAGAAAAAAATGCAAATTAAAAAAAAAAAAAACATAAAGTGTTATGAATTAAAATCTCTTGGAGACGTATAAATCAGATATAGAAATGTGAACTTTAGAATCATAAATGCGTAAAATAATATAAAAAAATATACATATAGGAAAATACATCAGAATATAAAAATACTGCAACATCATAAAGATGTCAGTTTTTACCTTTGGGATTTAATTTGTAAGACTTCACAATTTTTCAATATTTTTGCCAGAAAATCAAACGTTAAAATTTTCCAGTAAATAGGAATCGGCAGTGCTCGACAACAACGACATGCACATTGGCATATGTCAGTAACATGATACTTTTATTGTCAGGATTCAGACTTTACTGTTGTTTGCGTGCGAAGCGTTGTGATGCTGCGTAGTCGATACAATAATGGAGGACTAGATATTGATTACTTTTCCGCGCATTGTTGCGACATAACTGAATTGCTGCACATGCACGGTATAAATTTGATTTTAGTGAATAAAGCATATAAACATAGACAACTTTCAAATTTTATTCGTACTTATTGGGTATTTAATACCAAAATGCGCTACTGCATTTCTTATCATTGCAAATAAATCAAATTTAAAAATATATTTTATTTATTTATTTATACATATATGATCTTCAAAATTTATAAAGTTTTCTTTATATCGATCAGTCTTCTTTTTTTAATATTAAAATTAAATCATTTCTTATGGATCCTATCTTAATGTGAGTATTTTTGAAAGTATAAAATATATGGCAAATATATTGTAATCGTATGAATTACGTGTGTCAAACTGTGAGTGAGTGATGCGTTCTGTATTGACAACATATATTTGATATTTGAAGATTAAATATGTACATCAAGAAATGATTGATTTAAAAAGAAGGAGAAAAAGATCAACCGAAGAAAAAAGTAAACGTGAAAGATATGTGTGTATATATATATAGACAGATAAAAAATGAAAATATAATCTAAAAATAAGAGATATGTACGATCAGTCTTTTTTTAAATCCGTGGCTCACGGCTATAAAGGACTCAAACTACCCTAAAAAGTTTCTATTTTATAAAAATATAATTTGTTGAATTCCAAAAAGGAACTTAACAGCATAGTTATTTTTTTTTTGAAATTTCAAAACGCAAAATATTTCGGGCGTTGTGAATCCAATCAAAAGTACGCAGAAACGCCGTTCGTTTCGTAGTAAAAAGGAGCAGAGGCAATTTGCAAGCTTGCAAATTGCCGGTATTTATGGCAAGCGGCAGTTCTGACATCGCGTAAAATCACATACGTGTATATGTTCCGCGTTGTGAGGCCGTAAAGCGAAATCCGCTCGAATCAAATTTAACTGGGTATTATGATATTCATCTATTGCATATGCTAGATATATAATGTAAAATGCATTTATTATAATGTTCAGTAATTAGTCAATAAATTATGAGTCAATGTTGTAACAACAAAATAAGTATCATATTTTTCGAAAAAGATCCTTGTGTAAATTTCCTACGGTTTCAATTATAATTAAGTAATACAACAGTATATTTTTTATGATAATATATTGATTTTTCACGACCTTATTATAATATACGTACACACAATATGCATTTAATATTAGCTCTCAAAGTGATATCTTTGAAGGAAAAAATCTCGAGGGCTAATTTGATCTTAATTTGCTTAAACCGCATTACTGATATATCTTGAATTATTCAAACCTAATTTATTTTACCGCGCGCTTCTACCTTCGAAGTTTTAAAGGAACAATCGCTTTAGTTTTCTTAAAGCAGACACTTCCAGTTCTGGCGAATCTCTTGCAAAAATTTGACAACAATGATGAGTGACAATGACGGTAATTAAAACACTGATGAATAAATGATATATATATATATATATATATCATGATTGTATTATAACTTATTATTAAGATACTATTTAAATATTATATTTTTGTTTTTAACAAATTACGATTTATTTTCTCAATTTTTATTATTAAAAACAATTAATACTATTGCAATAATACCAATAAAATATTTTTTAAATTTATCTTATATGCCTTTCAAAATTATTAATACAAATTAATTAGTAATAACTTTCTGAAGATTAATTTGTACAAATCTTGAAAAACAGAATTTTACTTTTATTTAAAAAGTATCTGTTTCTTTCGTTAAATAAACGTGGACTAATATATTTTAAAAACATATCTTCTTTAAATTAAAATAATAAAATGACATGTATAACACACCATTGCAGTATATTTTATACTATGACAAAGAGAAATTCTTGAAAGAAATTCTTGCTGCGAAATTTTGTGATTTCGTGAAACGCTCATTTGATGTACATTTATTCTACTATACATATGTATATTCTCCAAATATATTCAAGGAAATGCTTCCATTTATGAAATAGTTTACGTAGCTTTTATGAAATTGTTGAAGTAGAATATTATTTAATTGTAAAACATTAAAGGCGGTAAAACGTTAAATAAAACTAGATAAATAATTTGGAATTTTAAAGCATGTATATATAAATGATTATAAATTTATTTTCTAAAATATTCTTGTATTTGCAGCTATTACGCGTCTACCGCGTTTCCGCCGCGTTTGGCACCACCATTGAAACGGCCGCGTTTGATGCCACCGACACGAGCACAGCATCCGAAGCTGCAGAAACAACAATTGACGGCAAACACTGGCACAATACCCGACTTGAATCAATTGAAAGTGTACAGTAAGTGCTGCGTTCAAAACAGTAAGCGTCTTTATTATCCCCGATGTACCGTAGGTGTCAATGAAGCCTTTCACTTCCGCGTTAAGCATTTTCAATTCCGAGCGCATCGTATTTAAATAATAGCGCGCATTATTGATTCTGAGAAAATCGACAAGTTTTAGTCGCTAGAAAAATTTGACAGCTCTTTCTGCGATTCGATGAAAGATTAAATATGAATTTAACACAGAGAAACAATGCGTTTCGTTTCATTCGTTGCTCGGTGGTGAAAAGGCGCCATTAAAGAGCGCGCTCGTTGATATCTAATTATAACAATGATTGTTTGGAGTAGTTTATAATTTATCTTCTCGTAACGCGGAATCCCAAAGTCTCGTCGAGCAATGAAGGTTGAGTTTAATTGAAGGTATGTCGTAGGCAATCCAGATATACTGATCTGCGGCAACTGCAGGGAGATGTTCACGGAACTCGGGGAGCTGTTGGAGCACAAGCGGAACTACTGCAAGCTGCGGTTCACATGTAAATGTCACACCTTCAACGGAGCCGCCCCAAGTATGTACTCGAAATAAACTTCGAGGCGCCTCCTTCCGGTACGTAAACGCGCTCCGAATCCCACCGGAAGATCCAGAATTAGTATAATTATCCAATTTTAATCGGCCATATTATTCTCGTCTGTCATAACTGATTCGGCAGCTACTTACAAATGTAAAAGGTTACCGAATCCTTTGTAATGCGAGTTAAAATTATTGGAATCAATGTAGATTACTTATTCATCAAATCTCGATTTAATCGGTTGATGTGTAATTATATAATGATAAATTTCTTTGCTCCACGTCGAAATTAAACAAGGTAAACATATCAAATAAATTATTTATATCGTGCATTCATTCAAGATACGCGAGTTAAACGGGCACGTTGTATTATATTTATATTATTCGTAAATTATGCGAGCAATTTCGAATATTTTCATTATATCAAAATAATTGTATTACACTGTTCAAACTCCATTTCCCTTATGGCGGCTCGAATCACGTTGTTACGTAATGAACTAAAAAAAGGCCAAGAGAGACGAAATTAATTAAAAATTAATCATTATATGAATGCGAGTCCAATTGAAGAGCGAAGGAAAATTTATCTTTTCGAACAACAACATAAATTGACAGCGCACTAGCGGTTGCTGCTAATCCCGTATATATAACTCATTCCGCAAGCTGTCTAAAAATCCGCCGAGTAATCCAAGATTTATTCGGCGAGACGTGCATGAGAGACATCGCGAAGGAACTCACTTTTTGAAATTTTGTCTCATTTTGATCTCGTTCTAGTTCTTGGGTGTACGGGAGATATCAGGCATGTGTTTAACTTATTTATTAACGTTTCACTTACACACAAACAGGAGACTCGACGACGGCGTTGCTCTGCGTTCTCTGCAAGTTATCTTTTCCAAGTGCTTGGGAATTGATGGTTCATGCCCAGGCAGCCCACATGATCAACATTTACGAGCTCGGCACAAGAGCGCCGAGCCCGTCGCGAAGTCCTAGTCTTGACCAACCGAAGGAGTCGTCGCCTTCCCCCCAGGATTTCCAGGTTAGTTCTCTCTTATCTCTCTCTCTCCCTCTTACGTCCTATCTATGATTTATTATTTACGCCGACGTCATGCAGCAATATTTTACAAAATCGCGCAACCCGAACTGAAGAATTAATAGTTTCCGCCTCCTCTCGGGAATTGCGGCGAGCGGAACGAACAACTAGAAGGAAGTTCATCCTCAAAACGATCTAAAACGTAAAACAAAAATTCCGAATATAAAAATGTGTGCTTTTATCTTACTTTTAGTGTCGGCCATTAAATTACCGATCCCGCAATTATAATGACAACGTCGGTAATTGTTTATTTGTCAATATATAATATTGCAATATTGAAATATATACATCGGAGTATATGTATTACGATCAACTCTCGCAAGGTTTCTTGTCCGCAAATTATATTTAACCTACCTGTCAGTAACTAATTAACGAATATTTGAAATTGTTTTACCGTTGCGCGCGCATTTTTCGAGTAATTAAAACATGAAATTAACGGAAATATTTGCGCTCTCTCGTAGGATATATTATCCAGTTTCGACGCGATGGTCGATTTATTTAAATAAGTAACATTCTCTCACTTTCATTAATTAATTTGTGTTTCATTACCAACCAATGATTGCATTACTTATTCAGCATTGGTATCATTGACGTGTATTGATGTCGATGACTTTTATTGTTATCGATTATATAATTGTATAATTCTCGCGAATGAGCTACGTTCTATTATTTTCATACTCGAAATGTTTGAATCTTTTATATAATTCGATGTAACGAATATATATTTTATAACGTCTCTCACATATAATCGATAAAGTATATACACATAGATAGCACTTTGGAACTTTCTACATACATTTTATTTTATATTAGCGAAAGAACTCTGCAATTTCAAGATATATCTCTCAATTTTATTCCCATATTTTTCTTAATTATAATTTAATTTGCCTGGACTCTAAATACAAGTCTCGTACACAAAACGAGTAAAGTAACAAATACAAGCGTTGAAGCTCAGCTACAGAAAGACTGATCTTGCCATCTGACTTATTTTTCACATCAACACCATCTTTTATCCTGCATTTCCTCGACTCTCTCTCTTTCTTTCCCTCACTCTATCTCGTTTCCTCCTCTTTCTGCAAAACGACACGTAGTCTTCCGTCACATTTATCGGTGTGTCGTCACAAGATCCGAGGAGGCAACAAAGAGGCAACGCGATGCTTCGCGACGGCTGAGACACGAGATATATCCGTGGACGACGGCGCAGACAATCTTCCCCGACGACGCGTGACATGCACGATTTCCACGAAGTTGTACAGTAGCGAAGTAAGGGGGTTGCGCTTGCACTCGGCAAAAGCAACCCCAGTGACCGACGCGAAACACGTCGATTCCATCGAGGCTAACTCTGGGGTTGACGTATCGACAGAGAAACATATGACGAAGTAATATTTTTCCGCGCCCCCTCGGGTGATGGCATTTTCCCGCCACTCGCTCACCATCTCCCCTTAATAGTTTTTCCCATCGACAGATAGCAAAATCGAAAATTGCACTTTTGATGTTAAGTATATAGCAGAAATTATTCGCTCGCGTCGTTTAGTTTATATTTTTATTCATGTACAATAGTTGGACAAATCGTTTTATATCTAACAATTTTTCTTTCTTTCTTTTTTTTTTATCACATATCAACGAAAAATTATTGTACATTATCAGAGAATGTGCTATATTAAAGTAAAAAATGCGGATTATATTCAGAAAAAAATACAGAGAGTAAAATTATAATAAAACAATATTATTAACTGACATCTCTAATTTAAATATATTCGTTGTCAGTTATATCAAGTCTAGCAAATATTATTGTTTGAAATATGCATAATGGAATAGTAAATTTAATAGAGCCGATTTTGAGAGCAAAACATAGGAAAATTTCCACTGCAACGTATAGTATTATTAACAAAGTCCATAGCGACACACACGGTATTATTTTTTCATGATCACACATTCTTTCACAAGAATGAATGATCCCGACAAAGATACGGTCCGTTAATCAGCCTCTCGTCTACGATAATCTCGCACAACGGTATTGATTTACGGAATCTATGACAGGAAATCAAGGCTACGGATTGCGAAGAGCGCGCGGAGGAGGAAGAACTTGATGGACACGAGTTAATACCGTCCCCAGACAGTGGCAAGTCAACGGACAACGAAGCGGCTCTGTCGCCGATCAAGATTCGATCTGACGTAAACGGGTTGGATCACGAGGACTGCGACGAATTGATCCACGTTGAGAATACCACGCAGGCATGCATCATGCATACTTTAAGCATTGTAAGTTATCGGCTTTATTTTCTGTCTTTTTGATATGTGAACATTTTACATTTTTAAGAATCAGTAACACATTTCTTCAAGTACGAGTATTAGAAGAATCAAATAAAAAGAATGATTGCTTCTTTGCAAGAATTACTTATAATAAATTCATTAGATGAAATAAATTAGCTGTCATCATGCATACTTTAAGCGTTGTAAGTTATCGGCTTTATTTTCTGTCTTTTTGATATGTGAACATTTTACATTTTTAAGAATCAGTAACACATTTCTTCAAGTACGAGTATTAGAAGAATCAAATAAAAGGGATGATTGCTTCTTTGCAAGAATTACATATAATAAATTCATTAGATGAAATAAATTAGTTGTCATCATGCATACTTTAAGTGTTGTGAGTTATCGGCTTTATTTTCTGTCTTTTTGATATGTGAACATTTTACATTTTTAAGAATCAGTAACACATTTCTTCAAGTACGAGTATTAGAAGAATCAAATAAAAAGGATGATTGCTTCTTTGCAAGAATTACTTATAATAAATTCATTAGATGAAATAAATTAGTTGTCATCATGCATACTTTAAGCGTTGTGAGTTATCGGCTTTATTTTCTGTCTTTTTGATATGTGAACATTTTACATTTTTAAGAATCAGTAACACATTTCTTCAAGTACGAGTATTAGAAGAATCAAATAAAAGGGATGATTGCTTTTTTGCAAGAATTACTTATAATAAATTCATTAGATGAAATAAATTAGTTGTCATCATGCATACTTTAAGCGTTGTAAGTTATCGGCTTTATTTTCTGTCTTTTTGATATGTGAACATTTTACATTTTTAAGAATCAGTAACACATTTCTTCAAGTACGAGTATTAGAAGAATCAAATAAAAAGGATGATTGCTTCTTTGCAAGAATTACTTATAATAAATTCATTAGATGAAATAAATTAGTTGTCATCATGCATACTTTAAGCGTTGTAGTTATCGGCTTTATTTTCTGTCTTTTTGATATGTGAACATTTTACATTTTTAAGAATCAGTAACACATTTCTTCAAGTACGAGTATTAGAAAAATCAAATAAAAAAATAATTGCTTCTTTGCAAGAATTACTTATAATAAATTGATTAAAATTTTTTTAATAAGCTTCTAAAATTGTATGGTATTTAATTTTTATTGTATTAATAATATGCTTAAGACAATGAAAAATGAAGAATGGATACATTTTTTGCCGATTGGTGAAAAAAATCTAGTATGCAATGGGAAATAACATGATGGCAGAAACATAGTTTCCGGATTCGTGCGTCTTGCACGAGAATCGTAAAGAGCGGAAAGATCATAATGGATTCAGCATGGCGGTTCTAATGACAGGCGTCGCTCTCGTCACACAGCAGTTAAAAGCAGTCATCCACAATAGAAAATCGTTTCTTCTCGGGTGCATATTAACAAGAGTCGTAAGTCGCCGTTGTTGGCGCCAACAACGACGACAGTAATGTCGTCTGCGATGTACTTCCTTTTTCCACGCGATATAACGTGCTGTTTCAATTTTCATTAAGAATAGCTAATGAATAGCAAGCTGTCGCAGCTTTGAATTTTTCAATATGTAAACTTTGACATTCTTAAAATGAAGAAAATAGAATGTCGAGTTTGATAAGCCTTTAATTCGGGAATATGAAGGTCTTAATCTTTCTTCTTTTAACTCTCCAGATAATGTAATTGTTAAAATGATTTTTTTGTGCTTGTTACAGGACTCTTCTTTGGAATTGAATTCTGATACAAACTCGAGAACAACTTCTGGAACGGTGATGGCCTTGACCAATGGTTCATTATCGGCGAAGGAATAAACGAGAAATAAAAATATTTAAAAGAGAAGATTCAAAGAATATTCATCGGAACGGTCTTCCCCGGCCAACCAACGAGACATATCGATCTCCTTTAAGGATTATGCACCTGTTTGTATATAGCTTAATTGCCTAACAAATTATTATTCAGGATCGCTAGATCCCGTGGTCTATGCCGGCTGATCGAATATCGATCATCTTTCCCTCTCCCAAAAAAAAAAGAAAAAATATTATTTCTATCCCGGACTCCTTTCCACACATTTGCAATTTTGTTTCAAAATTTTATTGAAAATAAATTGAGAAGCAAAGTGTTGCAGAAATTCAAATTGGTTTAAATTGTTTCAAAATTATTGTGTAATAATATTGATTGGTAAGTAATTTAATTGGTAATTTTATTTGTAGATTTTTAATTTGTGTATACATTTATTTCATTTAAAGAATCATATATTTTTAATTACTCAAACTGTTGTATTGATCGAAATTATTATTGTTGACTCTTTTTAAAAGTATGAGATTTTTCAGGTATTTGATATTTGAAAGTCTTAAACAATTAAATTTTAAGATTTATTTAAAAATTGTTTTTAATTGCATTTGTTTATTTTAAAATTAAATCTTTTAAATTTTAAATTTTGAGATTTACAAATCTTTTAATTCCATTTATCGAGCTTTTAAACGGAATTCATCAACTGCGAGATATTGAATCATGTAACGCAATTGTAAAATCACAAAAATTTTTCTTGAAATAATTTTATATATATTTAGAAAATTCTATATATATACACAATATATAAGTTTATTATTATTCTCGATAATATAAAATTAAGTGCTTTTAGTCATTTCGATGGCAAAAGTGTTGAAGATAAAAATATTTGTGGACAAAATATTAGCTAAACAGAATCACACATCAATGGATTTAACTTATCAGAAATCCTAGTAATTATTTATTTACCAGTTATTATCTTAAATAAAGACTAAATTAATGTCGATATTATCATATCATTAATAATAACTAGTAAATAGATAATTTATTATCGGTAAATTTGTTTCTTATAAGAAAACAAGGAAACGTTTTATTACTTCCTTTCGTAGCACAGTCGCACATACGTGTGTATGTAGATTAAATATAGATTGTCACTTTAATTACTCATGAAAGGATATATCTTTCGAAACAATGTTGTCGATGCCGAACTAATAACTAAATTACCGTGATATAAATTTAAACTTTAATTATTAAAAAAACAACTTTATTTCTTCGCTGTTCTGAAATCTTATTTAAATTTTTTTTCATCAATCATACTGTAAGCAACTTAAATAATTGTTGCTTATTTTAAGAAGGAAACGTAGTACAGAGAAAGCGAGAGGAGACTTTATTGATGGCAGTTATATTAATTTCGTATTACTTTTATTAAATCACTTTTTCATTATTATATGATAAAAAGATATTTAAACATGTAGAGAGTTTAGATTTATTATTTTAACTGTAACAAATTTGTGAATTCAAAATACATTCTACAGATCTATTAATTCCGAACATATTAATAGACTTAAATCTGATATGAATCGAGTTCTACAAGCATATATTAATTTAGAAATAACTATATTTTTGAATCTTTGGCAGGGAGAGAGATCCGCAGACTTAAAAATTTATAAATATAAAATTTCAACAGTTTTCATTATATATTACTTTTCTAAGTCTAAACTTTATTTATAATTCGTAGTTTAATTCTTAATTTTAACACTATTATAAAAATCAAAATATGTATATGCCTATGAATAATAATATAAATTGTTATGTTGTTGTAGAAGAATAATTAAATAATATTAGGAATATAATGTTAACTTTTTTAATTAATTTATTCTCTTCAGTCCTTTGTTAGTGATTTGCCATCGAGGTCCTCGTAGTGTATGCATATCAGAGATCTAGTCATCTCAGTTTTTTAAACAGCCTGTACAATCCGAAATGTAACGAAATTGCAAAAAAAAAAAAAATTAATAAATATTATCGACAGCCGGAAAAAAATCAGTCGAGCTTTTTCGAAGCCTGACGCGCTTCTCTTTCTGCGTTTTTTTCTCTGTGCAAATCGAACAAGATAATATTAATTATGTCACGACTAGATGGTAGCGACGAGAGTTATTTATTTATAGCCCCATATATAAACAATGTTTTATGGATCATTAATGTCTAAATAAAATATATTACGTCTTTTAAGCCGTTTTGGAATCTCTTTCTTTTCCCACCCATTTTGCATGATGTAACAATTTGACTTTCTACAATCTCATTCGTGAAATATTATACCTCTCAAAATTACGTAATTTTTAATATATTTAACGTACATATCCTTTTTTATTTTAGAGTTCTTGCATGACATTTTATTAATAAAATAAAGATAATAAAAGTGAGAAAAATGAGAAATTGCTTAAGTTTTAAACTTAAATTTTTAATGAATAATTAACAAACACGTATATAGCTTCTAATTGGAACGAATTTTAACGGGAAAAGACTTTTCCAATTCTCGGCACGGTCGCTTTTTTGCAAGAATATTCTTCATACGAAATTTTCTAACAATCCAACATTTTATTAATAAATATAATCGATGGAAATGAGAAAAGTTGCTTAAGAGTTTTTAATAAATAACTAACAAACATGCACACACATACATGCAGTTGCTAATTAGAACTAGTTTTTAACGATGTGCCAGAGGGAAAGGTATTTCGCAGTTCTCAGCACGTTCGCTTCTTCGCGAGCACGTTTCATCCCTTCATATGACACCTAATTACTGCTAGATATCGCGAGACATTACTACGCTTTTCGCGGTTATACGTCTTCAACAAGAGGCTCGTTACACAAAGATTTCACCACTCTGTTAACCCCTCGACGTTACGTTTAATAAGTCCGTTTGTTCCTCCAATTAAAAGTTACAGTCTAGTAGCGGTATAATGATGTGCCGTATTGTATATTATTATTTTGTGAATCTGTATAAAATGATATTTTCCAGAAATGCTGTCTCGATATTCGTACATTTGTCACGAAATATTTGCCGTTATATCGTTACAAAATTAACGATTACATTTGATCAATTAACAATGCAATCTGTATAATTTTTTTACAATTTTTCTTTTATCAAACTCTATTATTATTTCAAATTATTTCATATAAATAGGTAATCGTCGATATATTATCTAAAAAAATTTGATTGGATTAATTAATTATTAAGAAATCTTAATAAGAAGATATATGCACATTACGATATTATTGTGTTAAACTTTTATATATTGGTATCTTTTTTATAAAAAGATTATTTTGTTTTTTAAGTTAATAACGTGTAATTGTTAAAGGAAACATGTAGTCGAAATATCTATTTTATTTGAAATTAAGAAATAATATTTGTGTCACTTTGTTACCGTCTACTCGTACATCCTGTTTTCTTGTCTTATTTTTATTCCTATCCAAGAATATCTAGTCACTGCATATTACGTGACTACATTGAAATAAAACCGCAGTCGTACATGCGACAGAAATTTCGTGACAAGTGTTTTAAAGACGAAAATCCTAAATTTCTAATGTATTAAAAAATCAATAAAAAATTAAGTAACGACGCGCTTTCGTTGTTTTTGGTAATTTAAAAATCATTCTCTATAAAGTTTGTAACGCATTCTGTTCCTATATTGACTTTTCTTTGAATTAGCAAGCTTTTACATCTATCGAGCTGGCAGAGTCATCTTTTGTAAGTGCGTATCTAGTGGATAACGTAGAATTCACACTGTATTCAAACCCTGTATGCGCACATGTATATAGGCTTTGTCAGAAATCTATTATGTCGATAGAAATGTTCTCATTTTTTCATCGATCTTTGTTTTTCTTTTCTTCTCTGCTCTTTGTTAGATGACAACACTTTATACAGAAAAGATTAAATTTTTTAAATATATAAAATATATGTGTGCAATGATAAAAGAAAACAAAATTAAAAAAGTACTTTTTACAATTTGTTATAAACTCATGTAACATAAAAATTCGCTGACTTCAAATCAAATTTTCAAAATTTTATAGTAGTACTTATAAATATTAAGACTTTAATTAAGTTACAATTAACTAACAATAAGTTATAAATTAAATACTAACGAAAGCAGTACGAAGATAAATAAAAGTTTGTTACTTTACATAATTAGTTTTTAAAATTTAATTTGCAAAAATTATTTCGATTATTAAAAAATAAAGTGTGAGTATTTTTATCCAGAGAGAGATTTTTAATTTTAAATATAAATTAATTTAGCATAATTCTGAAATTGAATTTACCATTATCCTGTGTATCGAGATATTTACATTTCTACATATTTTGACAATAAATTTACTGTAACATACTGCCTTTATTTCACTCACACTCATTGTCTACGCTAACCGGCGCGACTGTTTAACTATCATTCGGTACAGACCTTACAGTTAAAAACGATAAGCAATTGTGAACGGTAGTTAACTCTCTGGTAGAGGGGTGAGCACGTTTCACCTGTGACAATCAAACGGTATGCAGATATGAAGCCGGGATAAACCGGCGACTCGTGGACTACTGCACGGTAGTAATCAGAGTCACTCCGAACAGTCAACGACTCGCCAGGCAGACAGCAGGTAATTCTTTTATACCATTTTATATTCAATTTTATATTCCTTTCAATAATTTTGTATTACATAAATAATCAATAATTCTATATTACATTTAATTCAATATTGTTAATGCATTTTTTTTTCTCGTTAAATGCAAGACTAGTGTCAATATTTTTTTACTATATAACATATAACTTTTTCCATTTGCTTCAACTTAAATCATGGTATTTTTGTTTACTCATACACATTTTTAAATAATGTTATTTTTTTAGAGTACTAAATATTGTAAATTTCTCTCTCTCTCATAGCATCTATTTACTAATATACATACATAAATATATATGCAATTTTTAGATATAAACATAGATTAATAAATTTTCGAAATATTATTTTTGAGAATATCATATTAGTAGGTATGATATGAATTTTAAATATATATTTTTATATTTTTGTCTGATAATATACTACAATATAACAAGAGATCCAAAAGAAATAATTAAGTAAGTGTTAATTAAACAAATCTATATATACATATATAAGCTAATTAATCAAATATTTTTAAATATATATTTTTAGATTTTTGTCTAATAATATAATAAACAAAAGAAACAAAGACACTATTAAGTGTTAATTAAACAAACATGTAAGCTAATTAAATTAATAATATCAAAAGTGGTACATTAAAGTGCGAAATATTTGATCATATGCCAATATAGACAAAAATAACTATTATATTTGCGTTGGCAAAATAATAATATTCGATAAAATTTGCATTTAATCTGAACAAATGCGGGTTTTGAATTTTAACAGAAATTATATTAAACTATGTTTACAGTCTTTTCGTGTGTGAACAGATTCGGTCGGATATGGTTGCAATTCGATGGCTTGTAATTCGGTTGAATGATTATCGTATATATTTTAATTTAACTTCACATATTGACATTAATTAACCAAATCATTTAATTAACCAATTTATATAAATAAATTTACAAGAAATATATGATTATATATAGAATTAAAAATTTTTCATTATAAATTCGAATTAAATAATTATGCGGTTTTTTTAAATATTTATATATTAACATTACTATATAATTAAATTTTAATTTTAAATATTTTTGTGTTATTTAATAATTAACAGCTAATATTTAATGTCATAATATAATGAAGAACATTCAGTTAAATAATAGACCGCAAAGTGAGTTTAAATTGTAGGCAAACGTTTACAATTTTTATGATCCATCGGTTGTGCAATTTTTAAATTTATACACATATTAAAATCTATATATTAATATTTCAATATAATCTTTTTCTATTTTTGCATAGCTTTTTAAAATTCTATTGGATTTAAAAAAATACTGGAGAATTAATTTTTCGAAACTAAAATTATGTTTATGTGTGCAGTGATATTAATGTTAAACATCGAAATATAATATTTAAAAAAATGTCCAAAATAATAAAAATTTTATACACATATGTAAAATCTCTATTCTCTCGTCTTTATCTATCTCGAGCACATCAGCTATTTTTTAAAAGCAGTGATGTTGTCGCTACACATCGCGCGTTCTTCATGTTCCAATTTTCGATGCGGTGAACATCTAATTCCAGTTTTATCGCGACTACGGCGTTCGGTCGCTTGGCTAATTAAAAAGATTCTTAATTAAGAGCGAAACGGTCTCGTTGGCGTGTAACTGTAAACCGCGGATATAACTGTGTGTGACGCCTTGGTAACGGAGCGTAAGATCGTCGTCCTGCTGCAGATTTGTTCCGCTACATCGCCGGAGATACCGACCTTTTGCTCTGCAGTCGTTTGTTAGCGATGCTCACAAAACCGACAGCGCGCTTATAACTGTGATGGAATGACTCAACGCGTAGCTTTCAACAAAAGATCCCGCTTTTGTAAAACGTAACGAGCTCTTTATTCACGATGATCTTGCGTCAATAACTAAGTCATTATTTCCTTCTGTTCATTAATTTCTTCTTTGCATTAATGTCTTTCAAATCAGGTGCCAAAATTCTCTTATCAAACATATTGCGAGAGAGAACAAAAATTTACCAAAGAAGAAAAATGGCAAAAAATTATTTTCTTCTGTGCGTTAATTCCTTCTTTGCATTAATGTTTTTAAGACCATTTATTAGATCCTAAAATTCTCTTATTAAACATATTGCGAGAACAAAGAATTCATGACAAAGAAAAAACCAAAAAATTGCAAAAAATATATAAATGTGAAATATTAGAAAAAATAATGATTATATCAAAAAATTCTTTGCGTGCGAATAATTTTGTTGCCATAATTTCGAGTTGAAAATCACGCGAAGCATTGAACTTTGATGGGAATCAGATGTGATTTCGAGCTATGGTAAACATGCTCGGGCGAACAATCATCCGGATGGATCTCGGTGCGAGTCGGCCGGAACTCGAGCATAATACCGCGGAAACGGCCCGGGAAATTATATTTGTCATGGAGAATCGGCCGTGTCTACATTCGAGGACGATTCGATGCGATCTCTGACCGCGCAGCTACCGGACGGAACGGTCATTGCATGTGTATCGCCGGCCTTTTTTAAAAGCTACGCGTTTCGATGGAAAGTGCCCGGTGATATTCACGGTTACGTTCAAAGTGGAAGCGAGCAATCAGACCGATATACTAACCACCGGCTTCGCACACAGAGGAGTAATGCGGGAAAGTTTAATTTGATCGCTCTCTGTGACGGATGCGCGAATCGCTCAAATTCATTCTCAATTAATGTCAATCAATGCTATTCATTTTTTTATTTTACTTAAGATACACACTCATTTCTTTAACTATAGCTAACTGAATCATTTTCTATATCTGTGATATAATATTTCAAAATAAATGAAATTTTATGTACCAATTCTCCTTTCTTAGACTGTTCATTCAAATTTGAAGGTGCATGCGAATAATCTTGGGAAATATTTGACAATAAATGGAATTCTTGAATTTTTAGATCACGATGCTGAGATTATCGGCCGTGTGTCCATTGATCCTTCTGCTGGCTGGAGTCGACGCGGCCGGTATCGGCGAGGCTTGGCAAATCACGCCGTATTTAAAATCACTTTATCCGGATCATCTGTTTTGGCCACGATTTGACTCCACGGCATTCGAAGTCCGCACCGTAAGCGGAGTAGGTCGTCTGCCTCCACTCGAGGAATCGCGAAACGCTCGAAAACATTCGGAGCTTACTACATCGAGTTCCGTAGAGCAAAATTCCCTACCGGATGTCGAGAAAACTTCCCATCTGGAGAACGAGAACATCGAGCGTTTCCAGAAGCTCTTGGAGAATTCATCTCGCAACGATGACGAGGTCGAAGCCGAAGAGGAAGACCCCGAAGACGCAGCACCTATCCGGAAAATGTTTCGAAAGACGCTGATGATGAGACTTTTGCACGCAAACGACAACGACGAGTCATCTGCGAACGAGGCGAGGGAAATCGTACGTGTTCGCAGGCAAGCGGAGAACGAGACAAGCATGGAAAAGATCTCGACGACGAAGAGCGTGCGCGAGGCTCGGCTGAACTCGAACAGCCCCGAGACCTGGTCGAGTTCGGTTCAACCGATCTCGGTGGAATTTCGTCACCGTATCCCGCTGGACCAGGTGATCCGGCAGCAGCAGGAGGAAGAGGAAGCCGCCGCACTCTCCAACAGCTATCGGAGACATCAGGCACCTCGGGTGGACTTTGTTACCGGTCAGCATCATCGACGAAATTATCCGGAGTATCGCGAATCCCGGGACATGCCGATCACCAGGAACTACGACGACTACGACCAGATGTCCTGGTACAGGAACGCGATACGCGAGAGAGAGTACCCGTACGAGTACTCGTATCGTCGTGGATACAGCTACCACAATCCCGATCGCTACCGGATGGAGAGGGATTATTACGCGCGTCTGCCGAACGAGCCGAATTATTACTACGATCGTTACAGGGACGACTCCGATTTCGATCTCTACGGCAGGAATCGAGCCACGCCGAAGCCGAGGCGGATCATCTACTACGCCACCCTGCCGGAGGTGGTGCGGAAACCGGTGGATCTGAGAAATTATCCGCGATACGACAAAGCCTCGGTCACGCGAGACGGTGCCTACAAACGGGTCCCAGGCAACGTCGATCCCGTAAGGTATCGATACAGACAGTACGGTTACGATCCGTACGCGAAGAGATCGAGCTATTACGATCGTACCTACGAATATCCCGAGAGCGATTCGCGAAAGGTCAGAGTGTCGACGAAGGAGAACCTGAGCAGCGAGCGGAAAGTGAGCAATCTTATCGCTATCAGGGACAACGACGGCAAATTACCCTGGCCGGTGCAGATCGGCACGGAAGTTAGCATCAAGGACGACGAGAGGATTCCCGGGCGGAAGATTTTTGGCGAATCGCACGTCGGCTACGATAGATTTCAGAGCGCGCAGTTACAGAAAGCCCCGGACGCCACGGGATCCAGCGAGCTCCAGAGCGATAATTAAGGAATAATTCATCGTCGGGCATATAATATTTGCTCATTTATGGTATATCGAATGAGAGAATTAATTCTACTTTGTTTCGAGAAACCACGAACGACGATGATATTCTTCCATCATTATTAAATAAGCGCAAAATTTGATATTAAAAATATATACATGATGAATATTGAAATATATAATAATTACAGGAAAAGAGACGATTATCGCATTTAAATAATTTAGGAGATCTCTAATCAGCTGTCACGACTTAATATTTACGAAGGCACTTAATTTGTTAAATATTTAAAAAGCGATCTCTCTTTTTTAATAACAGAGATTATATAACTTGGTAGTATCGGAAAAATATAATTACACGATTTATTTTTACAGATGGACAATCAATTTTGATATTTAATATTGATTATCTAACGTCATTTTATACTATACGTTACCTATATATTAAGTATATACATATATATAATATATAAGTGTCTAACAGTAAGATTAATAATACACCTTTAAAATAATAAAATATATTTAAAACATTTATTTGTTTAATTAGTAAATAATAATAAAAAAGAAGTTGAATGCACAATAATATGCAGTGTACTTTTAAAACTTATGTTTGAATACTGTCAATCCAAGTTTTTGAAGTACAAGTTCCGAGAATATTAAGTATATCAATGTCATTTACAATATTCTTTTACATGTATGTGCGTCCTTCCTACATATTATTATCCGATAATAAGTAAGTTTCGTCATTCATTTAATAATTACATAACATTTGCGATAATTAAATTGAAAATTATTTAATGTTGCAATAAAATTAAAAAAACAGTTATCTTGTACTGTTTTTAGAAATAAATTCCTACACTCACTTTTCATAGAATTACAACATAATTTTTTTATTTTATTCTTTCTAGTTTTTGCAAATTAGTTAAATTCATACTTGAAAAATATTCTGTTTACTCTCCTTAAATTTATAAAGAAAAAAGTGGTATATTTTGCTGATATTTTTATGCATTATAATGTAATACAATTTCCAGTGTTAAGCAAATTAGTTAAATGCAGCGTAAATACATATTTTAATTGTATAAAAAAGCGGCTATTATCACGTTTCCAATTGTCATATTTTTTTAAATTAAAAATAGCTTGTTTTATACTCTTTAAAAATAACATTTCATATGCAATAATAATAAAAAATGATAAATTTTATCAAAAAGACTCTATATTATGTTATATTAGAACAACACTTGTTTTCGAAAATTTAAATATTTACAAAGTTATATCATTTTTCAAAAGAGATACGTAAAAAAGAAGCATTTTCGAGATTTTTAAATTTTAACAATTGTATTTTTGAAGAAAAATCAAAAATTATAGTTCTGGGTATTTTGTTCGTTCATCTACGATCGGTTATGCTTGTTTCGCTGTTCGATTCACCGGATTTACTATCTGTTGAACACGACAGCTTACCCGCAGCTGCATGCCTTTTACTCACTGTTGAACTTGCTTGTTACCGCAAGAGCCGAATGCTTTCGAACACGGTCTGTACGCTATCGCCATCTAATCCAAAGCATTAATGAACAACTCGAATACTATATTTATCATGTTAATAAAATTGAAACTGCATTTTTAACGTCTAATATTTCGTTTAATAAATTTATAAAACGTCTGTTACAAATGTAAAATTAAATTTTGCAGAGTATATTTTATACTGTCTATATAAGATAACGCTGGGGAGAATTTATTTAACAAATTATTTATTGGAATTAGAATTAAATATATTTAAAAATCACATTCGATTTCACGATCAATGAAATATAATTAAATTTCACTAACATTTTTAAAGAAAAATTTACTTTCCAATTATATTGATTTTTTTTTAGGTAATTAATAGCGATCACGAGAAAAAAGAGAAGTTCGCTGAAAACTTGACATAAAATTATCGAGGTGCCTTCGTCGTCGCATTGTCGAAAAAAGTTGGAAATCGTCGCATCGGCCTTCCGAGATCGCCGATATATATTATCGGGCCATATGAAATTTAGGTTTGAGAATAGTCCCGTGCAGGAAATTGCTAACGACCTAAACGTTGGGGCGGCGCACTGGGACCGTAAGTCCCATGGGCCCACTTGTGATGGATGGGCCTTGGACCACACTATAATTTGAAGGCGTTTTATGTGTGCCCTAACACGTACTCCTTCAATGATCCTCCATATGTCCCAATTGTCGTCCGACATAATCACGGAGAAGCTCGTATACATGCCCGTGACGGCCTTTTATCGCGCTATTTCGCGAATTTATTGGCATGAGAGAGAAATAAGCTTTAATGATATCAAATTGTTATTTTCAGGATTTTATCGTAATATCATATGATTTTATCATAATTCACGTCCGTTATTTGCAGCACCATGAATCGCTCCAAAGGTACGTTGTAAATTTTTGTTTCTTCAAAAAGAAGCTAAAAAAAGATAATGTCATATTTTTCAACTATTATCGATTGTCTTTTAGCGTTATTCTAAAATTTGAGAAAAAATGTCATTTCGTTTGTTTTTATTTCATTACAGCCTCTAACTAATTTTCGCGAATTTACAAGCAAAAATTGGAGATAATCGTTAAATGTTCGTACTTGCATGAATAAATTACGCGCTGCGAGAAAACAAAAACTTATAATTCCGCAATTCGCGGGCCGCGAATTACATAGTTATTTAATAAATTGCTTTACATGTGCTCGCTAGCGCGCTAATTAGTACCGGGCGCTATTATGCAAATCTTATACGCGGCGTAGGCATGGTTAAATGAATACCCAATTAAATTGCAAAGTGAGCGTTCCCAATTTTCCCTATATTTTGCCCTTTGGTACACTAATTAATTTCCACGGTCGAGCTCACTTTATTTACGCGCGACAAACCTCAAAATTGTAGCTGACCGTTCGATATATTTACACAGAAACCGCGAACCATGCGTTGGTATAAAAATACTTTTCGCGCGAGTTATAATTCGTGTCAACATAATTATATTTCAAATTCTTTCGCGTGACAAGTTGCGACAATCTTATCGCATCAGTTTGCGAACAAAAACAGTGAAAATTAAACTCTTGTGGAAAAATTGGTTTCTAAATCGATAAAAAACTACAGTTTAATTATGTCAATTAGTGCTTTTGATATAGTATCAAATAAAAAAAAATATAGTATCTATTTCTTCTTTGATTTACATTCAAAGGTATAGTTTTCAAATTCTCATTCTTGAGCAATAAATTTTTTTTCCGGCGAATTAAATTATTTGTAATCATATTGCGTGAGTTTTAGATCTAAAACTCACGCAACGCGAATTTTCAGGGATTCTTTAAGCTATATGCGGTATAATTGAGCAAGCATGTTGATTATCTCTGACACATACGGTGTAATTTATTTCGCTCTATTATCAACTTGTACGCAATAAAAGACGCGTATTCTCGGGCATGACAAGAATTCGTCAAGTCGAAACCTGAGGAAGCGTTTCGTCATCGGTGAGTCCTGATACGCAAGAACGGCCGGGGGTCTCGTCTCCGGCCACTTCTTCCTCCCGGTAACGTGGAATTATTGTGGATAATATGTGGATAGTTAGTCCGCGATTAGTCTGTCCCAGCGGATTGTATCCCTTCCCTTCCCATTCCCGCAGGCAGCGCCTGCCGTGATAAATGACCGAATCCTTTAGAGTTTTTAACCGCGAACCGCTCTCGCTTAAAGGTTTCTCTCTTCGACTGAGCCCGCTCACCTCAGCCGAAGGTCGTCGCTACAATTTTGCCGTAAATCACGGTAAATGTTGACGTAAACGCCATGAGTAATTAGATACACTAGCCTATGATAACCCCTGCTTCTTGCGCATCCACCGTCACGTCTCGATATTCATCTTCGATCCTAATATCGCTCTTCTCTCGCCACGCAAAACAAGAACAGTTGATTCTATCGAGAATATTTATCGAGAGAAAAATACATTTTTTATCAATTATTTTTATGCATAATTGTTAAGTATTGAGCGGCTTTAGGACACTTTTTTAATGAAACAAGCTTTCGTTATCAGAGAGCGGCGTACATAATTTCTTGAAAAGAGCGCATCGGAGTAAATGTCGCGCTAATGATATTTATGATCCTTATCAAAATTAAAAAGACACTCGGCGATAATCGAAATGAGAGAGAAGAGGGCAGAAAAATCCGATGTCTTTCTTTTCTTCCTTAACATCGCTAATCCATTGGCTACTCACCCCGTAGCGACTTTCGCAGCGAGGGTGAGGTCGATGAGTTTACCACCGCCGGGGGTTTTGATATAGATTGCGACCCACGCCTAATTTTCAGACTCACCGTTGTTTATTGCCGAATCCTTTTAGCCTTCGAATGGGGTGCCGGATAACTCTGTGTCTCCCTCATCTTTGCCGCGAAAAGAAAGGTCGTTCGACATTAAAGAGAAAGTCGGGGAAAGAAAAAACGACGCAGACCACATTTCGGTTCATTTGGAAACAGCGCCATTTAATAAATTCTTTTATCTTTACTTTTAAAAAAATCTACATGAAATTTTACTGCCTCTTGCATATTTTTAACTGTGTGAAAAATTTTCAAATAATTAAATTTAAGATACGTAGGCGTGTATAAATAATATAACGTCTCTGTATTCTCCGACTGTTGTCATTTGTTGTAATTTAAAGAAAATGTGTGTTGCTTGAAAAATAGCGCCATTTAATAAATTCTTTTATCTTTACTTTTAAAAAATCTACATGAAATTTTACTGCCTCTTGCATATTTTTAACTATGTGAAAAATTTTCAAATAATTAAATTTAAGATATGTAGGCGTGTATAAATAATATAACGTCTGTATTCTCCGACTGTTGTCATTTGTTGTAATTTAAAGAAAATGTGTGTTGCTTGAAAAATAGCGCCATTTAATAAATTCTTTTATCTTTACTTTTAAAAAATCTACATGAAATTTTACTGCCTCTTGCATATTTTTAACTATGTGAAAAATTTTCAAATAATTAAATTTAAGATATGTAGGCGTGTATAAATAATATAACGTCTCTGTATTCTCCGACTGTTGTCATTTGTTGTAATTTAAAGAAAATGTGTGTTGCTTGAAAAATAGCGCCATTTAATATTATTTTTACTTTTAAAAAATCTACATGAATATTTTAACTCTAAAATGAAAAATTTTAAATTTTGAGCCGTGTGATATAGGCATTAAAATCTTTGCCGACTTTTCATTTGCCGCATTTATTTAAAATGTATATTGTTCGAAGCAAAGATATTAAATAATAGTTACTTCAATTTTACTGCTTAAGATAAATATTTTTAAATATCGCATTAAATCTTAATTAAAACATGTATGCTGCTATATCCATTTAACCCCGACTGT